TTCCCCGCCTTCCAACACTGCCCACCCCCCGGCGCGAAAAAATACGTGGAAGTGACACTCGCCAGCACCGCGCCCCGCGCGCCCATGCCAACCCCAACGGCCGCGCCGCGGCCCCCCATGACATCCTAGCCCGGCCCCATCTGTTTCCATAGGATGGCACAAGGGAAGGCATCTCGCGGGAGGCAAAGGCTCCGGCGAGGCTGGCGGGGCTGCCTGGGCTGGTGGGGCTGGCAGCCGTCGGCGGCATGCAAAATGGAAGAGGAAGGTTGTTTCACTCAATCGCTGGGCCCCAAGTAAGACGTAGAATGGAAGCTCAAAAACTGAACCAGTTCTTGAATGCGATCCGTCGGGGTGTGAGGATTGTGCGTGGTGCCATGACAAATGAACAACCGAAGTAGGGGGAGGGTTGCTACAGCGAGGCTGAGGAAGTCTCAGCGCCCCCAGAGGAGCGGACCGGCGCATAAATCCGCCGCGACGAAGTCCCATACGCGGCAAGCCCTCGTGAATATCAATGCTGCTGCAGGAAAGGTCAGCCTGGCCAGGAGCTGGCAGTCCAGCGATTGCTAGTGAAACTCACCCGCCACGGCGAGGTCCACGCTGCCGCGGCCCGTGAGGCTGCCCCTAGGCGACAGGGAGTTCCTGGGACTGCGGTTGAGGTCGGCGCCGAGCGAGCCCCTAGGGCTGCGGTTGTACGGCGAGGCCATGGGGTCCCCGGCGCCACCGAGGCTGCCCCGTGGTGACCGGCCCATCTCCAGGACGTACGAGCCGCGCGGGGAGCGGCCCTGCTCGCCGGAGCCGCCGAGGCCGCCGATGCTCCCCCTCGGGCTCGTGCGCAAGTCGCCGCGAGAGTCGCTGTCCGGGACGAGGCTCGCCCGCGGCGACCGGTTGAACTCCACGTCGGCGGGGATGAGGCTGGGCCGCGGGGAGCGGTTGTACTCGCCCGCAGCCTGCTCGGGCACCAGGCTGGACCTGGGCGAGCGGTTGAACTCTACGTCGGAGGGGATGAGGCTGGGCCTCGGGGACCGGCCCGCGCCCAGTCCGGGCTCGTCGGGCGGCACGAGACTGGGCCGTGGGCTCCGGCTGTAGTCTGTATCACGGTCTCGGTCACGGTCTCGATCTCGGTCTCGGTCTCGATCGCGTTCACGGTCGCGATCACGGTCTCGATCACGGTCTCGATCTCGATCTCGGTCTCGGTCTCGGTCTCGGTCTCGGTCTCGTTCGCGCCGGCTGCTCACGTACTCCACGTCTCGCTCGTGCACCATGCTTGGTCGCGGGCTCCGGTTGTAGCTCTGCTCGCAGTCTTGGGGCACGAGGCTGTGGCGCGGGCTGCGCCCTGCCCCCTCCGGGCACAGACTGTTCCGGGGGCTGCGCGCGCTGCCGTACTCCGGCACCAGGCTGTTGCGGGGGCTCCGGTTGAAGTCGGACGGCGCGAGCGACCCCCTGGGGCTGCGATTGTAGTCGGGCGCCAGGCTGGAGCGGCGCGTGTAGTCGGAGGCGGCCTCGGGGGCCAGGCTGTGGCGCGGCGACCGGGACTTGTCCGGGGCCAGCGTGTTGCGCGACCGCGGCGCGCTCACCTCGCCCGACAGCAGCTCGGGCGCGATGCTCTGCTTGCGGTAGCCGCGGTCGTATTCGCCGCCGCTGTCCATGACGTCCAGGGCGTTCCTAGAGCCGCGCGGGCTGACGGCGCCGTCCACACCCGGGGTGCCGGCCGGCGTCGTGGCGCCCGGCGTGCCGCGGGGGCTTGTCTTGCTGATGGTGGGCAGGTCGGCGTGGCCCGCCAGCGCCTCCAGGGCGCCGGCCGACACGCTGGCCCGGCGGCCGGCGCCCGCCCCTGTCGGCGCCCCCGAGCCCGCCGCCACGCCCAGCGCCGAGATGCCGGAGGCCGCGGACACGGAGCCGCGCGGGCTGCGGGACGCGCCCGTCGGCCCCGGCGGCGCTCCCAGCCGGTTGGGCGACGACGCCGCGCTCCGGGAGGCGCGGCGCCGCCGCTGGGACGACAAGCTGCGGTTCAGCATGCCGCCACCTCACGGCTGCTCACGGCCCCGGGCCGCCGCTGCGCGCTGCCGCACGCTGCACTGCGCCTGCCCCCGCACCTGCAACAGGGAAACTCAAGCTCAATCCTAATTCCAGTGTCAATTTTCATCGCTGGTGCAACATTTGTGAGCTACCTTGCGACGTTCTTTAGAAAGTCATTTTTCTGCAGTGTAGCTCCTGCACTAGGCGCCCAACAACGTCCCGCTGCTCAGCAAGGACCACCTCACTCTAATTGTGACGCAGCTGTGTTTGTTTTGTGCGTCGGTCCGCGAAACAAATATAACCAGTCTATTGCGCGAAATTTAGACAGACCCCGCGACCTCGCCGTGCTGTTCGCTTCTCTTTCTCCGTATCGCGCTGCCATCCTCTCGCTTCTAGGAGGGGATGTTTTTTTTCTTCCCTCCGCTATGTATCCCCTTGACCTTTCCGCCGAACGAGCTCGGCGGCAGATTTCTTCTGTGTGTCGACTCGAGTGCCCTCCCC